AAAAAAAAAAAAAAAAAGAATATACTGTGCTACTTAAGTATAACATACACAGAGAAAAACCAGTAGAAGAAGAGTGGAAATGTAACCCCACAGTCCCAGTCACAGCTACTGCTGTAGAAGGAGAACTCAGGCAAGAATTTCCAGGGCATTGTCTCCATCCATCCACAACTACAGAGACCAGTTGAAGAAAGGAAGCAAGTATGATCACTGAGGGATGACTAGTTCCAAAGCTTAGGGGATACATTTGACCATCTCTGCTCATATTCTCACTTTCATCACCCTTACTGACTCTTATTCTGAAAGACAGGCGGTCAAAATAAACCTCATGAAATCCTTTAAATGTGCATTTATCCCGCATGACATCTTAATTTTCTTTGGAAAAGACAAGAAAACTGAAATATGTCCCCCTTGTAGCCAATACTAAGAGAAAGGAAGGTATATGGTGAAGGTCTTTTCTTTTACAGAACAGACACTCATGCACCTTGCTGGCAGATGAGATGGGCTCCATATGGGATTATCAAAGTCGTGTAGTGGGTACCAGTGAACACAACGTTCAAAGTTTAAACACACAGTCACACACGCACACTCACTTTATCTCACAATTGAGGCATCCATTCATCTCAAACACGTATTCCTCATCCACCTGTGCCAGCCACCGTGCCAGGTGTTAAGGATACCAAGATTGCAACCAAAGGATACGTTCAAAAGCTATTTCCTACTCAGGTGCCAAAACAAAACAAGCAAGCTCCTGTGAGTACTTCGCTGTGACCTGGGTCACATCAGTCCAGAGCTCTCCTAGGAGTCGGGGCCAGCAGGAAAACTAGGTTACTTACTTGTAACTGGGGTTCTCCAAATACAATGCCTCCACTGATCCACACTCCTGGACTCCCACACTGTGCTGCACAGACCTGGAACCTTCAAAAGCAGTAGAACCATTAGCAGGCTGGGAGGCTCAAGCGCTGAAGCAGCCGCCGGGGCTCCACAGATAGCTAGGTCAGACCCTCCCACCTGCTCCAGCGTCCGCACAGTGTGCTGGTGGGAGCCCGGGGAGTGTGTCCCTGTGGAGGATGTCTGCATGCGCTAAGCGTTCCAGTGACCGGACAGCAGCTGATCTAGCAGTAGCTGTCCTCCTAAAATTCCCTCCACACACCCTTACCACACACTAGCCTGCGGGTACGATTCTAATGTGAGTGGTCAAAACCGGGGAGAGACTGGGGCAGGGGGCAGGTGGCAGCTGCCGATGAGCTTGCACAGAGGGAGTACAGGGAAGAGACGTACACGCCTGTGAGCCTCACCCGGGATCACACTGAGAGCCAAGGCGAAGCCAACGCACAGCAAAAGTTCAAACCTTGCTCCAACTGCTGAAACAAAGGAACCAAAGATCTTCTCCTTATGCCACCAGTCAACTAATTCAGACTTTCTAGTGACTATTAAGGTATCAGGAGATTCCAGGACTATGCGGCATGAAAAATGTAAAACGAAACAGAAGAAGCCTTGTGTTTGATTACAGTGAAACCTGACACAAAGTTCAATGAAAATGATAACTTCAGACAGTGCCAAAGTTCATATTTCAACTCAAGCAGTGAACCTTTAATAATGTCCCAACTCAAAAGATTTTCCACAAAGTGGATGATGCCAGTTCTAGTAGAACTGTCCTCAATATGATTGAAAAGAACATGTGACTAGAGCAGAAAAAAAATTGAAATTTTCTTAAGCATGCAGTGAGATTACAAGCTACAAATAGCTCTGAACTATCTATTTGTTAAAAGCCACAATTTTAAATTCCAATTAAATACTCTTAGCATGAATATAAAGATCCCATGTTAAAGTGAAGATTGTAGACTTTTTATTCCTCACTTATTTTTCTGAAACCACTGTTCCTCCGGAATACAGCAATATAAGTCTGACTTTAATTTGTGATTCTGACTCAAAAATAAAGTTAAAAAGATTAATAAACTCTACAATCATGAAGCCCAACATTGTCTTAAATCTCTTGTGACAACGCTTCATAGCTTATAAGAAAACATGATTTTGTAAGGTTCCAAAAATAGTTGAAAGGTATGATATCAGTTTTTTCTTGAGATTAACTGACATGTGGGAAGAGAGGAGCTTAGGCTGCAGAACAGGAGAGATGCATCTGTGTAGTCGCTCGTTCTCAAGCACCCAGGTCACTCAAAGGAACAACTTGTGAGTATGGAGAATGTCCTATTCAATTTTAATATATGCCAGCAAATGGGAAATGTTAACATTGTTTAACTATTTAAAAATAAAATAAGTGATTATGCTCAAATCTAGAAGAAACTAAGGCTAAAATAACCTTACAAATAAGTAGAAAACCAATACTGGTCTTTACTTTCATTGAAAGCAGAACTCAATTTATTCATCAAAATTATCTTAAATTTAAAAGTGGTGAAGGTAAGAGCACAAAGATAATACTCATTTGAGATGAATCCCTTAAAAGTTATGCTGAACTTCTCAAGCCTCTATCAAGACTACGATCTGCTTCTGAGGTGGGACTTACATTCTGTGGGATCGTTTTTTAAGGAAAACTCTTTGTGTCAGATTTGGGAACGGATGTTTCAGGATCCAACTTTGAAATAAGTCTTCAACTCCTGCATCCCAAATCTGAACATAAAGCCTGTGCTTTTATCCTGCATGTGAAATTCTGATTAACTGTCTCACTTTTGATTTATTCACAAATTTCGAAGAGGTAACAATACACTTCTTTAAGTGCCTTCAATTAAGATGCAACAGGCAGAGTTAACTTAGAAGCTGATGAGTCTTAACCAACCTTGCTTGCATACAGGACCAAAAAATAATCATAGCCACATACATATTCATTATGCTCAACATAAGTTTTGTATAGACACTAGAGGTTTTTATTTGAGTGTTTACCTTAGAAAAGCTATGTTTAATTTCAAAATTATGTCATTTTAATTTCAATTATTAATGGTGGGTAGCCTCAAGCTAGATCTGGAACTGACTTTGGCTTTAGATAAATATTGCTCACTAAAAGGCAATCTCCTAACTGCTACTATAGAGTTGAGATCTGCTACATAATTCTAGCTAGGACAAATGGGATGTGCAAGCCAGTCTGGAAACATCTGCTTAATAGCAAGGACTGAGTGGGTCGATATATGAAGAACTGTTTCCGATACCCAGGATTAGTCAAAGATGTCAAAGGTATCATAATACAACTTCCTTGATCACATAAAACTAACCCCGTATTTAAGAATACCCAGTATTACAGTAACACACAAATATTCTTTAATTATGAGTTCATCTTTTATTTTATAATGCAACCCAATCCCTGAAACGCTTTTTTTTTTAAACAACTGGGATACAAGCTAAAGTAGCCTGAGAGACAGAGGAGGGAGAGAGAGAGAGAGAGAGAGAGATTTTCCAGCTGGCTCTTTTTTTTTGAGGTGGAGTTTTACTCTTGTTACCCAGGCTGGAGTGCAATGGCGTGATCTCGGCTCACTGCAACCTCCGCCTCCCGGGTTTAGGCAATTCTCCTGCCTCAGCCTCCCGAGTAGCTGGGATTACAGGCATGTACCACCATGCCCAGCTAATTTTTTGTATTTTAAGTAGAGATGGGGTTTCACCATGTTGGCTAGGCTGGTCTCAAACTCCTGACCTCAGGTGATCCACCCACCTCGGCCTCCCAAAGTTCTGGGATTACACGCGTGAGCCACCATGCCGGGCCTCAGCTGGCTCTTTAAAAAAAAGGTCTTAAAGAACACAAAAAAACGGTAAATCAGCAAATTGAGTATGTTGCTGTTTGTACAGAAATGTTGGCCGCCCACTGACTGAGGACAGCTTGCCTGCCCTATGAGGACCCTTACGTGAGTGTGAGATACTGGTGTGACAATACCAATACGGAGGTGAATTTACAGGTTCAGCACTTACTACCAAACTAGCCAGATCACAGGAGCTGAAAGGAATGCAGGCAGCCCCAGAAGAGCCCGGGAGTGCATGCGTCCTCATTCCATCCAACTTCTCCCTTCGCTCCGAACACCCCCAATTCTTAATGAAGCAGTCTGCTGCACCTGCAAACATCCAGGATCATCAAGAGGCACAAATACCACTCCACTCAAACTGAAACCTCTACAGCTCAACTTGTCTCTCCCTCAGTTTGCCAGGGGCTCACTAAGGATGTTAAGCAGAGCTTCCAGGGAGACATGAGACTGCACAGCTGACGGCCAGTTTTCTGTGCAGTGAGGCAGGCCAGCAGGTCGAGGATCCTGGACATCTCACAAGAGCCCTACGCCACAAGCGACCACAGCCCACTTCGGCCCACACACAAGTAGCACATCTTCGTATTGCAACACGAACCATGCAGTGGGGGAAAGGCGATGAACTCACAGCCTAAGATTAGAATTCTAGAGATGAGAAGAACACGCTGCCTGATCCTTTCAAAACCACAAACTAGGACTTTTAGAAAATATTTGGAGAAAAACACTTGCCGTATAACTTCAACAATACATCATATATTTTGGATCTTCCACCCATTAAAATACCCATACTTCCTTCCTTCAGTCAAAGGCCACCATGGGCCACACAGGGCCAAGCGGCTGGCATGGGGAGAAAAGCCACCCCTCCCGAGCCCCTCTCAGCTCAGCCAGGACTTCTTCAAAGAAGCCACAGGGCCACCCTGTGACATGTGCCCTCAGTGCCATCATCACTCCTTTATACATGGTTACAGCTGTAATTTTATAGTCACATGGATTCTTCAAAACATGTCCATACCCCATTTGTTTCTAAGATCCAGAACATGGGACCAGCTTTGACCTGCCCAGTCATATTTCCAGATTTTGCACAATTCTTACCACACAGCAAACACTACAATCTCTTATGGAACAAATGAACTACTGGACATGATGTCATTTCAATTAAGAAATAAACACGAAAAAAGGTCTAGCTTTTGGGTACAAACATATCTGAAGATTAGTTTTTTATTTCGCAAACTGATACACATAGTTGGAAATAAGGCTAAGAAGTGTATGCAATCTCTGCAAGGTAAAGACAGCAAGATAGGCATGTTATCTAAACTGTTAATGGTTATTTATGAAACTGTCATTATCTTATGTGAGCTCATTTATTAGGTTGCTGCAAAAGTAACTGCAGTTTTTGCCAATACTGGTATGTTTTTTTTTTTTTTTTTGAGACGGAGTTTCGCTCTTGTTACCCAGGCTGGAGTGCAATGGCGCGATCTCAGCTCACCACAACCTCCGCCTCCTGGGTTCAGGCAATTCTCCTGCCTCAGCCTCCTGAGCAGCTGGGATTACAGGCACGCGCCACCATGCCCAGCTAATTTTTTGTGGCTTTAGTAGAGACGGGGTTTCACCGTGTTGACCAGGATGGTCTCGATCTCTTGACCTCGTGATCCACCCGCCTCGGCCTCCCAAAGTGCTGGGATTACAGGCGTGAGCCACCGCGCCCGGCCCGGTATGTTTATTTTTCATAAAATTCTATGCTTTAAAATCTTAGAAAGCTGCCTCCTTTCAATTTTTCTATTCTATTTTCAGCTGGTGTCAGAAAATTCTCACTGCAGGACAGAAGTAATGAGCTAAGTCAGAGACTTCCAGCCCTAGGTCAGAAAGGGACAGCTTTGTACGTGGAGTTATTAAAATGCTAACTTGCATAAATATAGGATGCTTTGTGTACAGCTGAATAGAATTATTTACTTTCATGATTTAAAATGTAACTTTATCGACTGGTTGGTAACATTAGAGAGAATTTTGTATCCTAGAATTAGACTAAGCCACTAATCCTCACAGAATGATACTGCATGTGACAAAGCATGATGCTGACACATCTGTCATGCTAAGGACAGTTTAACTCCTCATTTACTGTGTGCAGAGCTCTTTAGCTACGGCCTCTTATAACGTCTTTCTTGGTGAACTCATGTGCCATGTACCTGAAGAGTTCAATATTGTACTCTGTGAGAGAAGCTGGTCATTGCTTATTGTTAAGGTGACACCTGTAAATTGATTATTGATTTCAGGTGCTGACAATCTTATGCCCCCTTTTATTAATAGTTCATTATTTCCATTAGAATTGTGTTGAATAAAATCTTGACCTAAATGGAAATTAATATTGTGATATCTGAAAACAACATTCTAAGACGTATGTTGGCAAGTCAAAGCTTTTTCATTTCAGTAAAATTTATGGAAAAATGAAAATGAGACCACAAAATGCATTTCCCTAAATGACAGTATTTGTTCACACTTTTTAAGCTGTGAAGTATTTTAAAAATACTTCTTATGATTCCTACTTTAACTCAGTATTTAGGCCCTAAAAATCACACACTTTGTTGATAAAACTGTCAATGAATTGAAAATATTTCCAAATATAGTACACTGCCAGGTATAGCAAAGGCATGTTACAAAGGATCTGAGGGACACCACCAAGCGACAACAGAATCTCCGCTCCCTGCCTCCACTGAGCAGGCTTGCTGAGCCGACGATGCTGTGGTTTCCCACGTGATGTGTTCCTATCCTATGTGTTCTAAATGCTCTGAAGTACACACTAACATGCCTGCAACACATTCCTACTAAAACACATTTGCTTGATTCAAAACCTGCTTATGGAAGCTTCATTAGCTAGTGTAACGATACAATGCAATTAAATGGTATGGCAACTAGAAATGAATATGAGAATAAAAAACCTGTTGGAATTCCAAGGGAAACCAAACCGAATTCCTTGGAAAGACTTGGTAAAGACAAGATACTTTAAACATTCTGCTGTCAAATTAGGTGTGGGCAAGACAACTACACAAAATCAGAGAGAAAAAGATTCAAAGACAAAAGGATACTGCACTATGACTGCTTGAGAGTGACCTACATTCTCATGCCTCGCTAAGAAACAGAAACAAGAAATGAAACTGCATGATGAACATGAGGACAGGCAAAAATTTCAAAAACAGAAAATGTATTATCACCTGAGCAGACCCACGTTCAAAAGATCCGTGGATGAATGTCCGAAGTATGAAGGTGCCACCTGTTTGGCTCCCTAATTTGTATACCCTTTTATTAATAACTGGGCTGAAAACATCAGGTAAAGGGACTTTCATTGTATCTGAACAGGGTTAATTCCAGAGGCAAAGGACTGTCCTTGCCTTTTACTCAACGTTTAACCTTTTCCCAAATGCTAGGATTCATGAACTGCTTAAAGTCTGCAAAACTTAGCTGAAGTAATATTTGAATTCTCTAGTACCTGCATGCATTTATAATTCTATGTGTTAATTGAAGAAAGAACATACTAGAAAATCTTTGAAAATTTCTATAGAATATCTAGATGCTTTTAACAGGTTACCATAAATTAAATGCTTTTTATAGCCCTTTCAGAATGGGATAAGGAATTGTATAGTCAGTTCTCATTATCCAACATAATGAGAAGTGAGAAAAAAAAATCTTAAGCCCCAAAGTTGAAACGAAACTTATTTCATTAACTAATTTAAAGTTTTCTCCTAGAACAGCTGAAGCCAAATTCTTAAAAAATTAGTTATATTCATCTACACTTTCAAGTATACTAATAAGCAATAAAGTAACCAAATGGCCAATAATAAAACAGAGGGAAAACAGAAGCACAACCCACAAACCGAAGAATACATTTTCTGAACTGAGCAAGAACCACACACTATGTGGTTTTGATGGACCTAGCACAATGCTTCTTAGATTAAGTGTACTCAGTTTTGGTTTTCTTATGAATACCTTTTCTTTCAATTCTGAAATTAGGTCTTGCAGAAGTATCTCTGAAACAGCAGAAATACTGCCCCAGACGGGCCTCATGGTTGAGTCCATCTAGAACTCTGTCGTTCTCCCGAGGTGTTCCCAGGAAATGGGACGGCTTCCCTCAGTCACGTGACAGCTCCACTGAGGGTGGTTTGATTCCCAGCAAAATGTTTTTGTTAACATCATCATCAGGTGGTTATGAGTCTTAAACGAATTAATATTGAATGAGATAATATCCATGGAAGTTACTAGAATAATATCTGGCACTTAGTAAGGGCTACAAAAGTTATTGTTGAATTAAAAAATGATTCTTAGTTAACATGAAGAGTTCATAGTTAAGAGTCACATGAGCGAAGCACACCAGGAAAGTACCTTCAGTTCCCACTGAGATCTGAGCACGCTATGGGAATTAATGATTCGTAAGGATCACGGAAGGCACAAAAGGCGAAACGTCAGACTAGGAGCAGCATAGCCCTGAGGCAGGGAATGAGTCAGCCATGGAGAGAATCAGATTGCCAATTTTAAGTGAGCTTTGCTGCCAAGGATATTTCCTACCTGTTTATTGACTTTTCAATGTTCTCCCATGTTTTAATTTTTTTATATAATCCCAGTAGAATTCTGAAGACATCGGGTAAAGAGAGTGCCATGGGGATTGATAACACCCTAATGTAAACAATTTATACCAATTTCATGGAGCATGAGGAAGAATCACAAAGCTACGTTTTCTGCTCTCTGCTAAACAACAATAACTTATTCTGTAAAAATGAGTGAATGAATGAATTAAATAACTGACTGTACCCAAACTGGAAGTGACTTTAGAAAGTATAATTTTTCATTTCTGGTACCAGATCTGAATTGGAACACATTATTTTCATTAAACTTCAACTTCTCCCATAAATTACAAATATGTATTGAGCATGGGCTTTCTGCACAGCAAGAGTATCATAGGAAAAGAGATAGAAAGATATACAGTACTTAAATTGCAGGATGAAAGGATGTTTAAAATAATAACTTACTAACCGGAGATAGTCAAGGTAATTTCCTGTGGAGACCCCGAGGAAGACGTGGCCGTGGGCCCAGCGGCCTGTGCCAGGACCTGGCTCAGGCTGGAGTTGTTAATGGTCAGGGTGATCTCGTGCGGACCGCTGGAGGGGGATACCAGACCTTGCGAAGTCATCACTTGAGTGAGGTCTTGGGTCCCTGTTTGTCATTACAAAGCAAGACAAAGTTGAGCTTTAAAAAAGCCATCTTCCCCTGTTTTTATATTTAAAACATTTTAATTCAACTGTTATTAAATATTTCAGTATGAGAAAAATTTAAAACAAAGCATCAGTCATCTCCAATTCCTTCATCTAAAAAGAAAGCCTTGCGATGAAATGAAGGCAGGATGACAAGAGTAATAGATGAAGGTAGTAATAATCTAACAATAGATATTAAATACATATCATTAATTATAAGAAAAGCTTATCTTATTCTTAGGACATCTGACTTATTCTCTTCTACAAAAAGAAGAAAATGACACCATAATATCCTAAAATCAAATAAGTGATCACAAGCAAGAAACTGAAACTCCAGCTGTCAAAATAAGCAAAATTGAGGGGTTCTTACCACTGCTGTTAGTGGTCAGCACGGAATCCTGCTCAGACAGCGGGCCTATGGTCAGATTCGCAGAGGTCACCGTGGGCTGTAAGGACAGGCCTGAGATGGGCTGGATGACAACACTGGCGGGGACTGTGCTATCCGATGTCTGGAGAGAGCTGTTCTGTGGGGCCAGGCCAGGCTCCCCCGTGAGCTGCTGAGCCAGCAGGTTGCCCTGCTGTAATGTCTGCTGCAGAATGCTCGGATCAATCTGAAAAGCAGCAGAGGTACTTGAAAACTTCAAGCTTCTGTGTGATGACAACAATATCATAGCACAGAAGACCATGGAAGGTGCCATACCTGCAATGTAATGTTATTAATGCTGGTGGCATCAATTCCAGAAATCTGTACATTTGGTCCAACCAAGTTAGCAGCCAACTGTAACTGGATGCCTTCTAGGGTAGCCAGACTCCCATCTGTCAGAGACACCGTCAGGTCACCCCCAGCTGGGCCAGAGAAAGAGAAAGGGAAAGACTGAAAATTATGACTGCTTCAAAGACTAAAGCATTTCATTTTTCACATAGGGATGTTTAAATACATAAGTGGTACACATTACGACAATACAATCTTGTTGTGGATTACCCATACCTACCTTATACCATACACATACACTGTCTAATCATCCCAAAATAACTCTGTAAAATAGATACTCATATTACTCACTTTAAATGTATCAGAAAAGTAGCTCAAAAAGATTCCACTGATTAGCCCAAGGTTCAAAACAACCACTACTACTGCGTGGCAGTCAGGCTGCCACCGTGCCAAAGTCACAGAAACAGAAAGAAGGGCACAGAGGACATCTGACTGCCATGTACAACTGCCGCATTTACCTGCAGCAGATACACAAATCAACACAGCTAGCTAAAATGTAACACTTTTCAAGTACGATGTGACCCAAGAACAACTGGGTAACCATATCAAAAACAATGCTAGTGAGTATTGATACATTACACTTCTCACAACTACATTTATGAGAATGCCAGCTGAGTAAAAACAAGTTCAAACCCATTAAAAACAACAGCTGACGGAAGTTCTTAGTGTGAAAAAGCAGCCGTCATGGAAGGTAGAATGGGAAATGCAAAGGAGCGATGTCTGCAAGATGAAGTTCCACTTTTTCCTAATGCTTGATAAGGGAAAGGCTCAAAGAAGGAAAACACGGTGCTGCGGAAAACAACGTTTCTTCTGCTCCGGGAACAGATAGAAGCCATGCAGAACCACTCAATCCCTGTGCTGCTCCCATTCCCCTGGCTCAGCGTTTACCTGACACGGAGGCGGGAAGAATAGCTTGGCCCACCAGCCCTGGTTGCAGCAGATTCTGATCGAACTGTCCTGTTAGAACAGAGTTGTTCATGATGAACACGCTGGGGTCGGTGGAGGAGGAGTTGAGGAGGCTGACGGGCTGCAGTCCTTCTGACGAACTTCGAGTCACAGGCTTTCTGGCCTTCTTCGGGTCTGGTTTATAATGAAACTGCATGTGCGTCTTCCTTCTACCCGAGGTACGGAAACGCAGCTCACAGTGCGGGCATTTGAAGGGCTTGGCTCCCGTGTGCAGACGCATGTGGACCTTCAGACTTCCCTTTGTGGAGAAGGCGTTGCTGCAGACGTGACAGCTGAAGAGCTTCTGACCTGTGAAAAGCCCAGCTGAGAATCAGCAGCGGCGACGGCAGCCATGACACGCACACTCATGCCACTCAGCTGTCAACACGAACGTAAACATGTTGAGTCGGCGGAAGGAAGTGCTTTAAAGAAAATCCCTTTCACCAATAAGATGTCACAGGCAATTGTTGCAGAAATTCAACAATATATCGTTTACAATTTGAATTTGGTATTTTCACAATCCTTTGAGGTTTATAGTGTTTCTAAACCACTGCATTTTTCTGAACCTTGACTGAAGTATTTGATTTATATTTATCAAAAACAAATGGGTGGTATGACTTAACAGCCCACCTCTGAATTACTGTCACTTTTCTTTAATTTTATAAATGGTACTTTAACATCTCAGCATGTCTCTATCTTCTCTTCTGCCAAACAGGGGAACCAAAATGCCAGCCCAGGTTGGCATCACACTGGGAGAATGTGCAAAGGAAAATTCTATTCTATGGTCAAAGAGCTGTGTGCCTGTATCATGTACCTAGTTCCTTAGGCGCTGGCTCCTTTCATGATTACTGGGTATATCAAAGGCCATGAAGGTGCTGAGCACCATGAGCATAGGCTGCACCCTGTAAGGGCCTCAGGGAGTAGAAAAACTTCCTGGCTTGCTTTTCCCCTCTACTGGTCCAGGAACAAATGCTAATTTTTACTAGGATGGTGCACACCGGAAACCACAAAGGGACTAGGGCAACCTGCTATCCCAACGCTGCCCTGGCTTCCTCAGAAATCATACCTCTACTTCAGAATGAAGAAAGAGGCACCAAAAGGTATTTATCCGGAGACTTCCACTTCTATTCTGTATCCATGTAGCCTACGCTCAACTCCAAAACCAAGGAAATGATGAAGCAGCGTGCACCAAGTCATTGCGGCCATCGCTGGGCACCTGCTACATGCCAGGCCATACCCTAGGCTTGGGGACGTGAAGGTAAGTGAGGCCGGGCCCTCCATATGTGCAAAAAGTTCACTGCATTACACAAGAGCCAAATACAGGTAGTCTAACAGCAGAAAAACTGCACACAGAACAGCCAGATAAACAAGCTCATCTAGTTCCAAACAGGAACCCATCAGAAAAGAATCACAGGGCTACAGGTAAACGTGTGAAAGTCCATTTGTTCTTGTCTGGTGAATTCTGCTTATAACCAACAATTCAGAATATAAATGAGTTTGATCATCAGAATTTTATGAACCATTATAACAACTCTCCACTCACTGAGAGTTCACCATAGGCCAAACACTTTTCTTAAGTCATCTAAATGTCTGAACTCCCAAAGAGGGAGGTAGAACTATCAGCCCATCTTCTGCAGGAGAAACCTGTGGCTACGAGGAGAACCTTGTCTAGGACCACAGAGCTCACAGGAGAACTGCAGGATTCCCAAACAGGGAGAGGCAGAGCCGGCCTCACAGCCACTAGGATGGACTGTGCAGAATTCCAGATGCGAAGGCGCTGGAGTATTCACCGCAGTGCCTCACATGAGATGAAAGGGAGAAAGAGCCCAGGAAAGTCGGCCATTCCTTTCTTCCTTCATAAGATTCTCTCCCTACATAGAAATAATTATGAAATGATAACTGTCATCAGATTTGCTATATGCCAGTTTTTACGAAACCTCAACAAACTGAATCTCGTTGGCCTAAATGAGACTAAGAGGTAATCTTTATTTATTTTGAGAGTTTCCTTCTTGTTGTCCAGGCTGGCATGTGATGGCGAGATCTCAGTTCACCGTAACCTCTGCCTCCTGAGTTCAAGCGCTTCTCCTGCCTCAGCCTCCCGAGTAGCTGGAGTTAGAGGCGTGCATCACCACTCCAACTAATTCTGTATTTTTACTAGAGACAAGGTTTCTCCATGTTGGTCAGGCTGGTCTCAAGGATAAAAGGTAATTTTTTTAACAAAGATATTTAAGCAGGAGTAAGGATATGTGACAATTTTTAAGAAAAATTCAACTTCTGAGACCAATCCCTTTTTTTTTCCTTAGTGTCATTTTGACAGTTTTCCCTGTGTCAGGAATAAAAAAAAAAATTTTATATCACTTTCTTAATGGTTCCTCATTTTTAAGCTTTCTATAATTTAAAAAGTACTTATGTATGCAAAATATATAGGAACAAAACATATGAAATGCTACCCTAAGACATCTACCAATGATGCAGGAATGCGTTCCTTACCTGTGTGAGTCTTCACATGGCAATCAAGAGTGGATTTCACAGTAAAACTCTTTCCACATTCATCACATTTGTATGGCTTTTCTCCAGTATGGATTCGAACATGCCTATCCAAAAAGCATTCATTATAGACGCACTGACAAACGACTTCATAATTTGAAATTTATAACTATATAAATTAAAATTAGGTGTTACTGCCTTCTGATTAAGTTTGGCCAAGAAAAACCTTAAGCTTCACTCCACACACAAAAAAACCATAAACAAATCCAAATAACAATAAAAATATTTGCAAGACAAATAATAATAGACATGATTTCCTTATGGCCAGGTGTGGCAGCTCACGCCTGTAATCCCAGCATGTTGGAAGACCAAGGTGGGCAGCTCACCTGAGGCCAGGAGTTCAAGACCAGCCTGGCCAACATGGTTAAATCCCATCTCTACTCAAAATACAAAAATTAGCTGGGCATAGTGGCAGGTGCCTGTAATCCCAGCTACTCAGGAGGCTAAGACGGGAATCACTTGAACCCAGGAGGCAAAGGTTGCAGTGAGCCTGGGCAAAGCAAGACTCTGTCTTAAAAAAAAAAAAAAAAAAAAAAGACAATTTCCTTAAAAAACCCAAGAACTCTGGCAAATCAGCAGGAAAACCCAAACAATATCAGAGTAGAAAAGTGGGCAGTGCGCAGAGTTTACAGAAGAAAAACTAACAGCCAAAAAGTATATGCAAAGCTGTTCAATCACACTTAGAATCAAAAAAGAGTAAATGAAAATGAGATATCATTTCCGCCATCCTGTTAGCCAGAGCTGTAAAAGAGGCACTTGGAGTCTCTGAAAGACGGAGGCACAGGGCCCTCTAGTGGCCTTTGCCAGCCTCTACCCTCACTGAGCTGTCAGAGGCACACAGGCTCACAGAAGACAGTCACCACAGCGCCCTGCCAGTCATCAAACATGGAAATTCAGTGCTCGGCGGGAGGGTCTGGTAAAATTAATTTGGTATGCCCATGCGATGGAACACTGTGTTGCCATTAAAAAGAATGAAACAGCTTTATGGATACTGACAAAGAAAACATCTATGACCCATTGATATATAAAAATTTAAAAACCAGAATTGCAGAACTTAATGCTGATATATGTCCAGACATTTCTGAAAAAAATACTTAAAGAACTGTTAACAGTGGTTATCTCTGGGGAGCAGGACACCTTTCAGTACCAGTCTTTGTTTGTTTTATCATCACATTTACTCACTGGGAGGCTGAACCTTGAACTTTTTTAAAACAAAGGATAGAACAAGAAGAAGAAAACAGAGCTATAAGGATGCCCTGCTCTTCTGGTCTTTAGGTACAGCTGATGGAGACACATTTAGCACTTCATGTTGCCTTGGTGGCATCCTGTCTCTGCTAATTGGCTGGCATGCCCCACCCCACAGGCAGGTCACAAAGTGCTGTTTCAACGCCTCCCCGTGACACCCTTGCCAGGCCTGACTTTCTCATCTATGATTCTATCACTAGCCCCTACTGGCAAAACTATCTCCCTCTATCAGCTAATTCATGAGTTTTTCCAGGCCACACACAACTGCTGGCCAGACTGGACTCCTTCTTAAAAACACGCAAAGTCTTCCATCACAACCCCTTAGATCCTCCTCTGCTTAGTTTAACTCTCCACGTCTTACTCCCCAACCTCAGATTATACCATCAACTAGATCCTACCCCTGAACTGCACTGCATGGCTCAAAGAGAGCTGGCCGCTCGAGGGTCCTGTGGCCACACCATCCAGTGGGACCTGGGCTCTCTCTTCTCCAGTAAACTCCCTCATTGTCACTCTCTGGCTGAACATACCTTCCCTTCCTGCTGTGGTCGACACATGAAGGCCAGAAGTCAAGGTGTGTGCTCACTAGGATGGCACTGCCAACTCAGCAGCTCCTTGAAACCAGCTACCCTTTCCCTGTACTACCTGCCACTGCCCTCTGTAGAATCAAGAGTACAAGGAACACACTCTCTTTGGTTTTCTGAAACATCCCACAATATTAAAATCTTCACAGTTTGTTTTACTAAGTTGCAGAATAACTTTCACTCACTTGTTCTATCTCCTAGAGCAAAACATAAGCATCCTCTTTATCATATGTAGAAACTTCTGATTCTTTAGAATACTGATACTTTGGTCTTCCTTTCTCCAGAAAGGAAGGACATTCTGAGAGCCCCTTCTGTTCTTTATCATGGGTCTTGGTTTCCAGATTCTTCACAGTTCTTCTAAACTCAATCTCGTGTATCAATCACTGCTGTTTGGCCAGTTGCCAGTTGGTCTCCTCCTGTCACCCGCATGTGTCCCGCTCCTCACAATGACTGGCAGGCCTCAGGCAGGAGGGCGCCTGCTGCTCTTCTACCCCTCCACAAAGCTTAGAGCCCTGACTTCTTCAATGGATAGATTTGTTTTCATTGTTTACTACTATGAGAACCACACAGAAATAAGCACAAGCAATCTACAGAGAAAACAGACTTTCTAATTAATATTCGGGAAGACTTACTATTGATAACTAACTCAAGCTTAAAACCATACACTCAAATAAGTAAGCAGCCATCACTCAGGTGACACCAGATTCAGGAACTAATGGCCTTGCTGCAGTGAAAGTCACCAAAGGAGCGGCCGCCTGCTACCCGACTTCGGAACAGAACCCGTGTGGTGGCTGTGCCCTCACCTCACCAGGTCGCTGGGCTTCTTGAAGCTCTTGGGGCAGTAGGTGCAGCAGTTGGCATGCTTGGGCTCGTCCTGCAGCTCCGCCTGCTTGTCCCTCAGCTCGCTGATACGGTCCTTTTCTGCTGCAGACTGCACCAGGACCTTCTCTGACACGGTGGCACTCTCCTGCGGACGGATCTTGGCTAACTGGGCTGTCTCTTCCTCTGTGAAAGTGATGACCTCAGGACGAGACTTCCGTGACACATTTCTGTCGGGATGCTCTTCCTCCTCCTCCATACAAATGTCTAAACAACATAAGGAAAAGGGATCACAATCCTAAGGAAAAAGACTTAGGTTTTTAGCAAAACAATTAAAACGAAATAGGTATGTATGTAATGAAAATTAATAACTCAACCAAGCTATTTTTACGATGGTAGAGAGTCACTATATTTTCCTACCACTATTGGAAACTTAGGTCACAGAACGAAAACAGCCAAGTGAACTGGAAAGTGGGGGGCAGGGGATGAACAGAGGTTGGTGAAGGGTGCAAACATCTGCTTAGATAGAAGGAATAAGCTCTAAAGTTTGAGAGCAGAGTGGACGATACAGTTAACAACAATGTATATTTCAAAGTAGCTAGAGGAGGGAACTTGAAATGCTCCCATATGTAGAAACTGATAAATACTTAAGGTAATGAACACCTCAAATACTCTGATTTGATCATTCCACATTCTATACAGGAAAACAAAACATGTGCATCATGAATATGTACAAATATTATGTATCAAAAAAAAAAAAAAGGCAAGTGAAGGTGCCCCTTAGGAGAGCAATTACTAACATTAGGAAGACGCATGGGTTAAAGACCTCCTTCCACCCCTCCGTGCAAATTCAGGAGTAGGCTTTGAAGCTGACAGTGTCCACATTAACCACCAGGTTCATAAATACAGATATTCATTTATTAATAAGGGCAAAAAATGAATTACCACCAGATTTTTAAAAACCAGAAGCCCAAAAATGGGAGACCAAATTAATAAATTAGCCAGTGATCCTCAACTAAAAGCAATTACTCTAAAGAAGAAAATAAAACTTTAAAAATACATTTGGTTGGTCCTCTGTATCCATGCCTTACACATTAATAGATTCAACCAACTGCAGTTAGAAAATACTTAGATTTTTTTTTCTCATTATTATTCAAAAAACAATATGATATAATGGCTATTTACGACCAGGTGCAATGGCTCACACCTGTAATCCCACTGCTTTGGGGAGCTGATATGGAAAGACTGTTTCAGGCCAGGAGTGTGAGACCAGCCTGGGCAACACAGCAAGACCCCATCTTTACCAAAAATTTAAAAATTAGCCATAGATGGTGTCAAGGCAGGGCTTAGCCCAGAAGTTCATGACAGCCTAGGCAACAGAGCAAGACCCTGTCTCTACAGAAAATTTAAAAATAATTAGCCAGGCATGGTGGTGAGCCTAAAGTTCCAACTACTCAGGAGTTTGAGGCAGGAAAATTGCCTGAACCCAGGAGTTCAAGGCTGCAGTGAATTATGAATGTGACACTGTAATCCTGCCTGGGTGACAGAGTGAGACCATGTCTCTCAAAAAAAAAACCCCAAATTATTTAAATAGCATTTATATTGTATTAGGTATCATAAGTGAATTATAGATGGTTTAAAGTATACAAGAGGATGCGTATAGGTTACATGCAGATACTATGCTGTTTTATATCAGGAACTTCAGCATCTGCAGATTTTGGTGTCCTCAGGAGTCCAGGAACCAATCCTCAGCTGATTGGTTCAGCTGAGAGAGAACTACATGTATAAATATTCATTCCTCAATGAAAAATAAGGATGCATTCCAATTGATTAAAAAAAGAATAATAATAGAAAAGGAAAAAAAGTTTGGCTAGGAACAGGGAGATCATTATTGCACGAATGACTGAAAAAAACTTACAACTCAACAGAAACACTAAATTGCAAAGGGACAGTGATTAATTCACCAAATAAGTAAATTTAAAAACCGATTGGATAATTTTTCTTAGCACATAAAAGGAAAGATGAGAGATGGGAGGGGAGAGGGTAGCAAAAGACAGCAAGGGTGTGGGTTGAAGGAGAAAGTCATGGAGGATAAAGCCAGTGGACTCTATGTCCATCTCATAGAAATTCCAGAAAATGATACATCAAACTGAAATTCCACATTATATGAAGTCTGGAACGATTTGAGGGCTGCTTATAGACAGTGGCCCCACCAACACTGATGAAGAAATAAGGAGGTTCCTCTGCTAATGTTCTTTAAGGAACTGAGAACACAATCAACGTAACACCAGCTGGAGAGAGAGAACGCAACAAAATTAAGCACGACCTAAAGACAGCATGAAGCAGGTGGCCAATAGGAAGACAGCATGAAGCAGGTGGCCAATAGGAAGACAGCATGAAGCAGGTGGCCAATAGGAAGACAGAATGAAGCAGGTGGCCAATAGGAAGACAGCATGAAGCAGGTGGCCAATAGGCCAAGCAGGCTAACATCACAATAATGTGAGGGAACTGAACCCCTAGCCAAGACCCTAGGTTTGGGCAAAACAACACAATTTAACATGTGACTTTTCTCCTATGGACAAGAGAGTTAATCCACAGTTTCCCCCACAATGATCCAAGGAAAACAAGACTTATAAAGGTGAATCTAAATAAACATGTAGCAGTGAGATGAAGCCCAAACAGAACCCCCAAATTGATGCTAGAATTCAATAGCATTAGAAGCTTTATTAATTGATGGAAAGGAATATGTAAAGAGGCTTAGAGACTATTTGAATTGGCTGATAAATCAACGTCCTCCAAATGACAGGGTTCTAGAAATAATGCCTGGATGTCCTATAGCCTTTAACTCATTTGAAAGAAAGGGTCATTTTCTTTTTATACTTTATGAAATCTCATGAAAGAATTTTAAAAATGGAAGTAAAGATAAAAATTTTAAACATGGAAGTAAGCACCATCAGATTAAAGAGTTTGAACTTCTCAGTATAACAGGTCAGAAACTTTTATTCCGGAATTATCTACTAAAGAAATGAGGTGCACAGTGGCTCTGGCAATGGTTAAGTCAAAGTCACAGTTTTTGTTACTTTGAGGGAGGGTGGGCAAGTTTTAGAGACTTATTCCTCAAAACAGAAAAGTGGACTGCCATTATTTCAGCCTAACCCGCCAGGGACACCAGATGGTCTCACTGTGATTGTGCGGTCAGACGGAGGCAAAGCAGACAGAGCGGCAGTACCTTGAGAGGGGATGATGGGCCAGCAGTAGGTCTGACCTCTGAGGACAGTCCCCACACAGCACCCCCATCTCCACACAGCCACTGACACAAGATTCTCTGACAACATTGCGCACCAACTGTGCCAGGACAGGATGGCTGAGGCATGGGCAAGAGGCCAGGTCCACACGTGCACAGACCAGCCGTGACCTCCAAGAGTGTCAGAACTAACATTGATTTTAAAACTGCAGTCTGTGTGCTGGCAGGATGTGCTAGAATACAAAATGTCCTCTATTCTTAACTCTGTAATTTCATTGTGGAGCTTACTAAAAAGAAGTTGTCTTACAAGTACACAAAGTATAAGCACAAAAATAATACTCAGGGTTTTTCTGCTTGGTGTGGGACTTCAGCGAATTAACTTGTCTAATGTTTAGCTGGCTAATGTACAAAATGAAATTAATCCCTCCAACTGTGCAGTGTTTTGTGTCTATTACATGAGACAATGTAATGGTAAGCACAGGTTTTGCCAGGGGTTACAGTACTCCATATATGCTACAGTACTCCATAGATTACCATTTCAGTGAGAGACCAGACACTAGCTACACATCCATGAATCCATCAACAGGAAATTATATAACAAAATATGATGGAATTCCATGGAGTCATCTGAACTGATGTAGATCCGTGTCCAATAAATTAAATATGCCTATAATTAACTTCAGGAGAGGGAAAATTAAGCATACTACAACACCATATATAGCAAGAAACCAAGAAAAAAAAAAAAAGTCTCTAGCAACCTGTATGCATAAGCATGAAAGAAAGAACACAATGTTGGAGCAAATACTAATACAGTGTGTGGTGATTTGTAAGAGCAGATGTTTTCTTCATTGTACCTCTGAATTTTTCTGCCAGGAGCATGCACAGCTTTCACAATCAGAAAATAAAATTAACTTTTAAAAACTCAGGGTGCTAGTGAGCTTAAGCTGTACATAGCCAGGTTAAAATACTCACAGTGATTTGTGAATGGATTTATTCCTAAATTAGCATCAGGTTAATACACCTTGAATTAACAAATGAAAAATACCTCCTCCTTCTGTCTCTGCAGTGGTTGACACAGCAGAGGAGACCGTTTGGTGTCTCTTCATGTGCTTTTTACAATGCACTGTAGTTCGGAAACCCTCCTCACAAAATGGACATTTATAAGGCTTCATGCTCATGTGTGTGGCCATGTGCCGGGTGAGGCTGCCATTGGTGGTGAAGGAGGCACTGCACACGCCACAGCTGAATGCCTTCACTCCTACGAGCACAGAAACAGAGAAAATGCTTGGAACAAATCATATTTCATTACCTTAAAACCATAAGTAGTCAAAAGCAAACAAAGATAGGTTTAATATGTCACAAAATTATCCTGAGGCTTAGCAGAGTTTGGTTAAAAAAAAAAGGAAATCACAAAATTATAGACAGTTTATTTGGTGGGGTTTCCAATTTTTAGAAATGGATTGTTTTAAGAACATGGAAGTTGACATAGGACATCTCACTGCCTTCTCTACTAAAATCAGCAGCCTCTGCAAAGTCATATTCTTCAAAACAAATCACTGCCCTCAGTCTTTTACACTTAAACTGGCAACATGTGGATTCTACCATAGAAATGTTTTCTCCAATCCATCCTTCATCACTCCCACAGCAAGTGAGGTAGATTAGGCATTAAGAACTAGTCTGTAAAACTTCTATACAGCTTCATTTTCAAATAAAGTCCAATATAGAATGCCCTCTCTCCTCCGGACCAAAGACACAGAAGCAAGTAACTAGCTATTTTCTTCCTGTTTCTGTCTTTCTCCCACTGCTCCTTGTAACAGTCATATATTGCTGCTCTCTGTCTCCATAGCAGGCCCTTCAAAGCACCATATTAACTACTCCCAGCAGTCTGTCCAGTGTCCACTCCAGCCACTCCCCAGTCAGCAACCTATGGATTAGCCAATAACACTTTTTCTTATTTCGCCTGGCTGCATGTTTCTAAGCAGTATATACTTTCATTTTCAAATAAAGCCTTATATAAAATATACATTGATATTAAACTTATTAAGAAAATACTGAATAAACAGATAACAGTAATATGTTAAAAATATTTTTAACTGTACACCACATATCTGATAAAGGGCCAGTAGCCAGAATAGAAACACCTCTTATGACTCAATCAGGCAAATAATCCAATTGTAAAATGGGCATAGGATTAGAACAAACATGCCTCAGTGTCTATGAAAGATGTTTAACATGATAAGCCATTGGAGAAATGCAAATCAAAGCAAAACCACAACAACACACAGGAAGGCCCATGACCATCCACGAGGCAGGTCATAAGAGAAGCAATAACAGGCATTGGCAAGGATGTGGGGAATCAGAGCCCTCCCATGCTATAGCGGGCTGTCAAATGCTGCAGCCACAATGGAAAACAGTTCCATAAACTCAAATGTTGTAACAAAGTTAACATATGACCAAACAGTTCCACTCCTAGGTAGAGAAATGAGCCCATGTCCACATAAAAACTTATACACAAATGTTCATAGTAGGATTACTCATAACAAAATATGGAAATAACCCCCATGGCCATCAACTGATGAATGGATCAGTAAGATGTGGCATATCCTCCTGTGGAATACTGTTTGCCCACAAAAAGGAATGAGATGCTGATGCTACAATACGGGTGAACCTTGAACACACTGTGCTATGAAAGCAGCAGACACAAAATGCCACGTATTAGATGAGTTCATTTCTATAAAACACCTAGAGGGGCCAACCTAGAAAGACAGAGGTAGATAACGGGTGCCTAGGGTTGGAGGCATTGAGGGGGAATGGGGAGTGACTGTTCATGGATACAGATTTTGGGTGTAATAAAAATGTCCTAAAATTACAGTTTTTATGGTTGCAGGACTCAATGAACACACTAAAAATCACTGAATTGTACACTCTAGGTGGGTGAACTGAAAGGTATATGGATTATATCTCAAGAAAGCTTTTTTTTTAAAGGCCTAATCTCCAAGTGTAAGGTAGTCAATGACCTGTGTGTGTCTTCTCGTGGGACTTGAGGACCCCGGAGGAAACAAAGCCACGTCCACAGAGCTTGCACTTGTAGGGCTTCTCCCCTGTGTGCGACCGCACATGCTGCTTCAAGTGGCTGGACTTCTTAAAGCCTTTGTTGCAATAGTCACACCTGCAAACCAAACATGCAGAACTCAGACAACATGTTCATTCAGAGCACAATTAGAAATACTGCACCTGAGAATGGAAGAAAAGCAAACAAGCTTCACCAACAACCATGAAACCTTTAGGCACAAATGTAACAGAACCAGGTGTGCTCTCTAACATTTAAAAAATTATAAGCTATAAAATATTGCCAACAATTATTTGTTAGATCAAATTCTGCTTATTTATAGTCTTAAATGTATTACTTAAAAATTAGTCAATCCTATAACCCCCCAGCAGACATAATATTTGATTAATTAGAAACTTTCTCTAGATATAACAGAAAGAAAATGCATGGACTCTCTCCTTTATTAAGTCATTAGACACTGAATCCTTCCATTGCCTCACAGGCAGAATAATTCCTGCATCCAGTCACTTGGAAATGCCAATCCACGTACTCCTTTGGTTTATAAAATACAAAACAAAGTGTACTGGAGTTATGCTGAATAATATATAAACATGTATCATTTCCCCCTCAGTTGTTACTGAATAGACTAATGTTATCTTAAGGATTAAAATAATTACAAATTTCAAAACTCCTATTCACATATTATTAAAAGCTTATTCCATTAGGATGTCTCTTTTGTCCATTCCTAAGTTTTAATCTCCAGTAAGAGGTTAGCGACATCACTAAACTATAACCTATGTCTAGACTGGGTGCCCACATAGAGGCAACTAATGTTCCCCTCAAGTCCAAATTCAACTAAAAGCTAGAAGTGTCCGAATACACCTTGAAATTTCACTCTTGTAAATTTGGTTTGGCGGTGGCTCACACCTGTAATCCCGGCACTTTGGGAGGCTGAGACAGGTGGATCACTTGAGGTTAGAAGTTTGAGACCAGCCTGGCCAACGTAATGAAACCCCAACTCTACTAAAAATGCAAAAATTAGTGAGGCATGGTGGTGCATGCTTGTAATCCTACCTACTCAGGAGGCTGAGGCATTAGAATTGCTTGGACCCAGGAGGCAGAGGTCGCAGTGAGCCAAGATTGTGTCATTGCACTCCAACTGGGTAACAAGAGCAAAAACTCTGTCTCAAAA